CCGGGACAGGGAAGGAGCTGCAGCGGGCGGGGGGGGCCAGGGTTTCAGGGGGGAGAACCCCCCCAACTACAGAATCCAGAGGGGCACGGCCAGGGGGTCCTGCCGGCTAGCTCCACGCAGGCTGTTTCCTCTGCTGCGCAGGCAGCGGCTGCCTCTGGGGTGGAGCACGGCGAGGGTTCAACATGGGAAGTGCAGCCGGTGGAAGAACAAAGGGGCCCCAGGGGGCACTTCACGGCCATCAGCAGACAAGGCCGGGAGAGGAGGGGGTGCCAGGTCCCCAAAGGACCCCCGGGAAGGGGGGAGGCTGAGTCGTAGCCAGGGGGTTTCACAGCTGACAGGACCCAGGGAACCAGCCCACGCCAGCGCCTGGTTCTTCTCCTTCGCACAAGAGTTCCTTGGGGCCGCCCCAGGGCAGACAGGATCCCCCCGCCCCCCGGCTGGCCTGGGCCCCGCTCCCGGTGGGGGAGAGATCAGAGCACAGGGGTCTCCCCAGCCCTGGGGGGCGCTCTGGAGAAGGCTGCGGGCAGAGGGAGAAAGCCGGGGAGCGAGAAGGGGGAACACAGGGAGGAATGAACGTGTCCCCCACTTTCACCCCGGTGCACAGCGGCGCCCGGCTGCAGCCATCGTGCTGGGCTCAGGCAGGTGGAGTCGGCCCCCGGGCCGGGGTGCGAGAAGGGGCAGGTCCTAGAGCCGAGATGGGTAAATAAAAAGGGGGAACGAGCCAATGAAAAGAGAGATCAACCCCGTGAGTCACTGACAGTTCCCACCTGGGTTTACACTCGATTTCCCCTGCAAATCCACCCCTGCCCCGAATCCCCTCCCAGTTTAACCCTCGCCACCCCCACCCCCAGCGCACACTGAGCAGGGGGGCTGGGCTGGGAGCTGCCGCACAGCTGCGGTACACAAGGGGTTAAACGGGCGCGGGGCTGGCCCGGCTGCAGAGGGGTCCAGATGCCCCCCCCCCCCCGGCTCTGCCAGGCAAGAGCCCCCGTGCAGCAGGGCCAAGTGGAGATTGGCACTGGGAGGGGAGACCAGCACCCCCACCAGGCCTCAGTTTCCCCCAGTCGCGTCCGCAAGGAGACAGCCGGGGCCCCGTGGAGCTCACGGTCGCCGGGGCGCAGTGCCGGGAATTCGGCTGCCCACCGGCTCCGCTGGAGGGAACGGAAAACCAGCAGGGGCAGATCCCTGCAGAGCAGCGGTGGGCGTGGGGGGGAAAATCGCACGGCCAAGGGACGCGCTCCGTCCCACACACGGTGCAGACGGCTGGCTGGACACACGGGGGGGGGACACCCCCTTTTTAATGGGCACCGCGGCACAGAGTTCATGGCGGCAAACGCCGGGTTTGGGGTGATCCGGACGCAGCCTGCGCGGCCGGGCAGGAGCCGGGAGCGGTTTCACGGATCCGGGGCCTCACGCCTTGGAGTATTTCCTGCGGACGGAGTCCCGGTAGAACTGGAAGATGGCGCCGCTGGCCCGCTGGGCGGCCGCGATACACCGCTGCAGCTGGGGAGGAGCAGGGAGACGGGCGGTTAGAGCGGGGGGACCCCAGAGACAGGCCCCCACGGCGGGCTGGGGCCGCGAAGGAGACTCTCCGCTCTGCCAGGGGCAGGATGGGATCATTGCTCTGACCAACCTGCCTGGAGGGGCGGCTCGGATTCCCCATCCCCAGGAAGGGGGGGCCTGCTCTCTGTGTATGGGGCGGTGGGCAGGGCAGGGGGTGTGGCCCCACAGAACAGGGGGACACAGCCGGGGAGGGGGGGCTGCTCGGCCTCCAGCCACCAGTGGTGGGCTGAGCCCCCCAACTCATTTCACACTGGGGGAGGACCCTGATCCCCTTCCCTGTAATACATGAGAACCCCCCCATGCCCTCCCTCCGGGCCAGGACCCCCACATTCCCCTGCCCCAACCCCACAGAGACCACAGCCAGCCCAGAAGTGGGGCTGGGGGGGGGGGTGAGGGGGAGACGGGAGGAGAGCTGCCATCCCAGCACCCTACCTCCCATCGCCATAGCAACCAGGCTGGGGCTGTGACTCCCCAGTCAATCATTCAAACTGCCCCGAACCCAGGAGGGGAACCCTTCGCTCCCAGCCC